TGCACAGTCTCATCATATATTTGATCAAACCGATCCCTCTGCCCTTCAATGCAAATGCAAAACTCTTCCACCCTTTTCAGACAAAACTGCATGTCGAATTACTTGTTCTGTAAGATGTCAAAGAGCACATCTGCATTGCGCAAATATCTCTTTAAAAGTTGAAAGGAAAAAGCCAAATTCAAAGTTGCCCAGGTTTGATAGGTAGCTCCAACAAGCCGTTTAGGACAGAGAGTGAATACCGGTGAATACCGAATACTATACAGAGATGCTGTATGAGAAAACAATGTGAGTTTGGAAAATTGCACAATATAAATCTATTTTAGCATACCTCAACAATGGAATTATGATCAGTAGAAATGGCCATGACATGGGACCTTTAAAGCAAATTGACCTATTTTTGCATGCGTCTGCCTACCTGTTCTCTGCAGTTGGGTTCTATCCACCTATCAGGCTAAAGGTGTGTTAAGATTAAATGTAATATAAGTTGTACATGTTTGAGTCCAATGTGAGCAAGCAAATGAGACAAAGGACACTTTAGCTGCAATGCGAATGTAGCCTTGGATACAATGCTCTTATCTTTCACTTCACAAGTAATGTCTCCATCACACCCGCTTTGTCTCCCCTCTCCCCCTTTCTAAGTCACCCTTTGGTCTGTCTCTCTGTGTCCTTATGTCGCAGGGAGTGGAGGTCCTCAGGGTATTGACTGGGCTCTACTTAATGCTGTCAGACTGATGGGAGACATGTGATTCACAGACGAGAACTTGGCCCCTGTGCCTTAAAACACAAACGCTCACATACATACAAGCACTTAAAGTCTGTAGGCAGCAAGCATATACACACAAATGAACACACAATAAATCATGCACTGTTGCACAAATGCATGTACCCACATTTAAACCCCCGCACACATGCACAAAAGCGCACATTCCCACACAAACACTCACCCCTGGGAGTCCCTCCTGACACCCTCAATCTGTCACAGCTGAAACCCAGAGGACCTCGTTTTCTAGTCAGGAGGGCCGGGACCGTACACTGAGCTCAGCAGAGTTTGAGCTAATCAAGACTGGCAATGACAGACTGCCTTCAATGACAGACATTTTTTTTTCACTTTTACATATTTCACAGTTGAGGATATCTAATTTCTATGGTTGGAGGCATGAAAAAGGGAGTCTGTCCTAGTGGGTGAACATGTATCGTGTGTAATCACGTGTAATGGGACTAAGGCGCACTTCTGAGAGTATAGACAGCTTCGGGGTTATTCAGCCGTATTTACTGTCAATAATTACATGAGCAATAAAGACCGTTAATTTAATTATCTGGTTCACAGAAAAGATTTTCGCAGCAGGTTAACACTTTGAGCTATATAATAGTCATTTAATGATTTATAAAAAAAATGTAAAATATTGGTTTTAATCACTTAAATACTTTCCTTGGGTTAAATAAAAGCAGGATGGAAGCCAATGATAATACATTCAAAAAGGAAAGATGATTCTATATATACAATCTCCTTGAGCCAGTACCAGGACCACATCATTTCAAAAAGTATGGTGAATATAGTTTATTTATTGTCACAAGTTAGACACATTTATTGTTCTTTTCTGGTTTGGCACATCTTAACTCTCCTGTCATTTCAGATCCCGCCTTCCTCCAGGCTTTTGCAATCAGCTCACTCCCTCACCTGTTCTCCCCAGCCCTTCCCCTCACCTGCTACTCATTCCCTCATTAACTCCACAGTATATATACCACCTCACTCTCACTTGTCCGCTGCCAGATTGTCTTGTGTATTCTGCCAAGCTCTCCTTCGTTTGATTATCTCTTGAGTTACCTGTCCTGCCCGGTTTTGACCCCTGCCTGCCTGTTATCGGACCTCGAGTTTCCTGCCTGCCCCCTGTTTGGATTTGGTTGCCTGTCTGACGGATCGCCTGGTTCTGAGCCCTGTTCTGAGCCCTGTTCTGCCTGCCCCTTCTTGGATTTGTTTGCCTGACTGCTGGATTTCCTGGTTTTGACCATGCCTGTCCCTGACCCGATTAAACTGAACATTCTGAACACTGGTTGTATCTGTGTTGTGCTATTGGGTTCTGATCTGTACCTGTGAGCGTGACATTTATTGAGGATATATTTATTTTGAAACCATGGGATAATGATGAGAATAAAAACTTCTTTTTTTTTTTTATTCAATCTCCACCTACATTGTAAGGGTAACAGAAATAGCTATGGTTACAATAGATTCCATGATACATTATTTAGAATTATTAACCATTATTCTGCAAGCAAGTTAAATCGCAAGGCTGACATTATATAGCTTTTGCTGAGAATAAATCCCATGAAAACACGAACCCATTTCAATAGTTTCTGGAATTCTCTCTGTCTGCCATTGGCTCTTAGTGACTAAATAGTCTCTATTAATCTCTTAGTCTCTAATTACTTAAATGATCAATTCATTCTTGGCTTTTTGGTATTTTTTTGTAATTCCTTGTCAAATGGAAAAACATAGAATATTGCCATCCTTATCCTTTTAGATTGTTTACAAAACCACTTCTTCAATCGACATCACAATAACATAATCAACGTTCTGTAGCCCCAGTGCCGTGTATTCCCTCAGTCATAAGAAACGCATTTCTCCTAAAGAATCACATTTGATTAAATGCTGAGTGCCGACATCTAATTAGTCTCTGCACTTGACTTTGTGCCTGTTACTTCTGTCTGTTGTTGCCCTAATAAAACAAAATCTGTCCTTTTCCTTACACCCAGAGTACCCAGTGTCCTCTGTGACATTTGGATGTTCTCTTGTGAGGGTACCAGAGACGAGTAGCCATTGTTGAATCCAAAGTCAATAAGCGTTTGTATAAACAACTCAGCTGCTCAGCAGTAGGCGGGTTAATTGTCTTCATGCAGGGCTGGGGATCAGTGAGACAGATGTGGCAGGAAGCAATCATGTGATGAATTAACCTCGGTATTAAATTGTGCCAATCAACATTTAAAAATTTGATGAACAAGTCAGTAGGCCAGCATGGAGATCCGTACCCTCATCACAGTGAATTTCCTGCTGCGTAAATGGGTAAATGGTCAAATGTGACCCCTGTCTTTCCCTTTTCAGGGCCTCCCAAGAGGCAGTGGCACTTTAAGACAATTCACCATTAGCTTTGGGTAGCTTCCCTAGTAACACCCTTTCTCTGGTAAAACGGAATACTGTAGTAAGCAATGTAAATTGTTGAAATTAAGTCTAGTCCTAAAATGCAGCCATGCAGCTGGCTAAAAGTTCAAAAGCTTTTTTACTATTCGTCTTGACGGAGACATGAATGATTGTACATCATTTCCGCCAATCTATTGAGGAGACACTTCACTATGATCCAAAAGTTTCATGGTTGATCAAGAGAAGATGTCAGGGGCCCATCAAAGTGATTAGGGTTTGTCCTCTGGGGACCATTACAGTCTGTACAATATTCCCTGGCCATCCACACAGTAGTTATTGAGATAATTTAGTATAGAACAAAGAAATCGAGACATGTTGGCTTGATGGCAATGTCTGTTAGCTAGCGTGGCTAAAAACAGCAAGAACATTGGGAGTGTTAGGCTGATGCTGCAGATAAAGCCTAATTCTGATACAGTAGGCTATATAACGCTAGCCGGCGGTACATGATTGTTGAAATATTTCTTCTTCTGATGAATTAGTATTATCTAGCATGCACAATCTTACAACTGTGCAGCAAGGATATCAAAAAACATGTGAACAACTACCGTTTCTTTCCATCACCTTGAATATTTCACCTCACTGCGTGCTATTAGTGTAAGAAAATGATGACTCCATTGGTTAAATTTGGCTCTGGCCCTTCTCTCCTTGACTCACTAAATGAGCCGAGTGAAGGATGTTGTGCTCTTCTGCATAAACGCTCGCAGCAAAATAGAGTTTATTAAGACCCGTAAAAAACAACATTAAAATTCACAACCAGGGGAGCGTCGCCTGACCCCTGGAGAATGATAAATTAGCTTGTGTTGCTCTAGCAAAACGACCATTTTATACCTTCATCTCCCCCCGGAGCTAACTCCCCTCCCATGGACTGAAAGCGTTTGGAAGCAAGGAATCATTATCAGATGACTCTAACATCATACTGCCTGCTTCCCTCTATCAAAGGACTTTTCTCAGCGGTGTGAATGACATTTGTTAATTCAGCTGAATGCCTCTGCTCTTTACATTCATCTGTGTCAAGTGGGTATAGCTTGGTGCCGCATAGCGTGCCATATACCTTCAGCTTAGCAGGTCTGAATTTGACATTGAAGGGTTTGTTGCAGAGAGCAAGGGCCAGGAAAATAAAAGTTAAAAAATCTCTCCAGAAATGTCTCGGTCGATACAAGCTGCTGCTTAGGGCTCGGTCCATTTGTACCTTTGATCGTGTTCTACCTTTCACCATGGATGAAGTGTTTTCTGAAGCCAGTGCTGCTCTGCTTATCTGGGGCTGGTTGTAATTGTTGAGTGCAGCCGCCTCCTCATGGTTGGTTTGAAGGATGGTAAAATAGATTTCATGTGACAGCGGCACTTAACTTTCCAACAAGGCAAACATGCAGATGTTTGGGCTGAATTTGAGAAGAGACGAAAGAAAATTCAAAAAATGATCAATGACACGTATTGAAAACAGAGGGGTTAGTACTTAGTTAGTGCTAGCTACGGATTAGGCATCTTCTCTTTAAATGGAATAAGCTGTTGCCCTGTATGTGACTACGTTTAATGACGATCCGCTTGCTAACCAAAGTCCCTTGCGGGTCATCACTGGCAACTCATTAGCACTATGCTAAGCTAATGGATCAGTAAATTGATTTTTATGTGGGCATAAATGCTAATTCGTTACACTGTGACGCTGTTTGACAACGCTGTGTTTAGCAAGCCAGGCTGAGCCTCGG